AATACTATAAAGTATTGAAGAAAATTACTATCAAAATTGAATAATTAATCAACGAATAAATTCAAGAGATATGAATGAATTCTATTGAATGATTTAAATATCATAATCATTGAAATTTTTTTGTTCTATTTTTTATAAATATATTAATTAACTTAATATATAACAACCCGCGCATATGCGCGGGACATAATCTAGTATAGATTAAGCTGAAGTTCAGTTGAACCATAAGCATATAAAATATTTAATGTTAAAGGTGTCGTTGGACCTATCAATGTTAATTACCAAGCACTCATGAATTTAGCCTTTTGGAGACCAAAGTCACAAGTAGATAAGACATAACACGTGGACGATCAGTTCCATGTGGTGACTCACATATGATCGCTACTATAATATGCCAACCACTAAATAAACTTTAATATATAAACATGTGAACCTGTAAGAGCTAGCAAATCATGTTATCCAATTATAAATAATATCATCGCTTTTGCTTATAATCAAAAGTAACTACATAAATCAATACTTTTTCTTGAAAAGCCAAAATTGAAACTCCTCTCAGTAGTGATGCTAAATCAAAATACTAAATTTTGGTAATATCAATGGATTACACATTGTTGGTGCATCATTTATAAAGGTTTTTAGCATTTTTTTTTTATCAATACACTAATGTAAAAATTAAAATACAAATAAGTAAGAAAACTATTTTTGTGTTTCTATCAAAAGGCAAAAATGACACTTTTAGTGGAAATTATTTGGTTAAAGTTTTGACAACATCTTCAATACGTGAGTTCAAATCACAGAAAACTAGTGCAAAATTTAACGAAAATCTAGAATATCATAAACATAGTTATTTTTCGTGGTTTTGTGTATTTCATAAAAATTTTCTCCATTCGTAATTTTCTTGTATAACTAGTTGTATAGCTTATGAATATGGATAACTATATCATTACCAAACTAACAATATGTTTAACGGAATAAATTATACATTACATCTTATAAATATAAGTACAGAATTATCAAATTTTGACATTTTTCATCCGAGATCGAAGACATTGTTTAAAATATGATATACTAAAACATTTTTGTGGTTTTATTGTCTAAGTTAATATGTTAAATAATTTATTAACAATATTAATTATATTGTATCGCGATAAATTACAAGTTATATGGTAAACTCATAGTTATCGTGTTAAATCATTTATTATAGAATTCATAGTTAATGTGTTAAATCATTTATTGTGCTAAATCATAGTATTGTATTTTTGTAACAACCCATCCCGGTGGGAACCCCTACCACATGGCACACCCCGCCATGCAGCGCTTGTAGCTGCCATATGGCGGGGTGTGCCATGTGGTAGGGGTTCCCACCGGGATGGGTTGTTACAATTAAAAGTCGCAGATCAGTTGGTAACAACTTGTCAAGTGGGAAGGTTGTTAAAGGGTGAGGACCTGGGTTCGAGGAACGTCAGGCGCACCAATAACCTACCTGGTGGGCCAGGGGGCTGCGAGCAAGTGGGTTGCGCAGTTTGGGGGCCCACAGGAGAGAGGTTAGGGTCGATGCGCTGCAGCGCTGTAAGGTTGCCATGTGGCGGGGTGTGCCATGTGGCGGAGTGTTCCCACGGAGCAAGGTGTTACAATTTTCGAAGTTGAAAATTATAAACATTAAATAATGAATTAAAAGAATTTACAGTTTATTGATATTTATTACGTTATCTCGCTAAAAATTTTGTTATCTATATAAGGGTATTTTTGTCCAAAACATATTAATATAAGAGAAAACTAATTAAAATATTAGTAAAGCTAAATATTTAATTTTTTGATCTTCTATGGGTACAGATTAGTATTTCCCTATTTCTCTTCCAAATCTCCTTAAAGCAAAACAGAGGACAAAAAATTATATTTCTTTTGTACAACTGACACTTGATTTAATAATCTTCTGCAAAATTTTAGACTGTACAAACGTTTGCTCTCCATAACTCCATGTGCAATTTAATGAACCAAAAGAAAATATATAAAGGGGCATCGACTATATAGTTAATTTAATAATAATAAATATGTGCAAATTTAATGAACCAAATGAAAATATATATTTTGATCCAAAAAAAAATATGGGTTGGAAAACTTTTCGAGGTTGCACTTTTGCACTTTGGGGACAAGAAAGGATACAAATCTTTATAACCTCAATAGATTTACTAATAATAATTAGGCTTAGGCATATAGTTCCGTTACTAATTAAAACATGTTCGGATTTTATATAGAACTAGTGATGGACCCGCACGTACGTGCGGAGTTACTTTTACAAAATTACGATTTTTAAGTAGATGCTATTTTGGTAAAATTTTGTTATGAGTTTATTTGATAAACTATATATAGACATACAATTGTAAAATATAGATATTGTATTACATAATAAAATTTTAAAATTACAATTTTAAAATTATTTAAATGAAAATGGTAAGTGATATTACGTGTTTATTTTTTAAACTAATCAAAACATTTCTAATTGTTTGCTTAGAGATGTTAAATCCGATTTGGGTTTGACTTTAGTTTGAATTGTTTTATTTGTAGTTTAGAATGGAAAACCCATCATGTCCCTTTTCGTCTCGTCCTGACCCGTCCCGTCCCGCCCCGCCCCGTCCCGTCCCGTCTTCTATCTGTTATAAAATTTCTGTCCCATAATCGTTTCTTTTTAAAACATAATCATTTGCCAATGTGTATTATAAGAAACTTGGTAAAACATTTAGACGGGATACCCGTATTCCTCATTTAAATATTTATTTTTATCAAACTAATAAAAATCTAATTATCAATATAAGTCACATGCTCCCACCATTTTCATTCACAAGGCATTGTTTGTAATCCTAGCATACACAATCCTTGTTCGACTTTTAATTTTATTGATCTTTCAGTTTCATCTTTATTTCTCATTACTTTTTTCAATTCAAAAATTCATGTTTTAGCCTTTTTGTTTTCTAAAGATTTAGGTATTTCTATTTTCTTTTAAACATGGATTTATCGTAGTTTTGTTATCCAAAGTATACGTTATCTTCTTGTACCTGTCATTTCATGTCTAAATATTTGAAATAAATAGGAAAGTGGAAATTAAATTTAGCAATTTAAATTACATGTCCCCGTATCGTACTCCTAGTTTTATATTTGAAAGTTGAAAGTGAATTTAACTTTATGACCGTGACTCATAACAATTATATCTAATCATGTTTTGTTTTTTTATGAGAAATAATTCAGATAATGTTTGTTTCGAATTAAATTCTCCCGTCTCGTATCCATTCCTATAAGTTTATATATTTTTTTAATAAATAACACCATTTACATGTAACTAAATATAATTTTAATATATGTAAAATTTCATATAATCGTCCAAAAGTAGAGATTTATACGTCCCAAAGTTGAATTTTATTCAATATTTTGAGATTTTAAGAATTAAATATAACTACCAATTTTTGTTTTCAACCGGTTATCCAAAACTTATATATCATATTTGTCAAGGATAGTTTAAAATTGTACGTATATGTGAGATAATGTTTGTAGATATTTGTTTATTATATCATATATATCATACCAATTTGACATTTTATTTGTTTTCAATTAGATTAAATCATTAAAAATATAATCCATTTATTATTTAAAAATTGGTAATAAGTCGTTAAAATCATTTAAATGTGATATATCCACTTGTTATTTAGTTTTAATCTTAATAGAAATTCTATATGTTTATAATCTCAAAATGTAGTTTATGATTTGATAAAAAATTATTTAATATTTGATAATAGTAATGATATGCAAATTGCCAATGGATGAAGATTTATTTTCTTAAGATTGTGTGAAATTAATAAGAAAAAAGAAGTTTAGAATAATCATTAACTAACGGTTTGACCAAATAAAAATTATTAACTAATTGAATTAATGATAAATTTTGTAGATATCATTTGTGCTATACTTGCTAGATTGATTTTTGAATATGAATATTTTTTATGTGAAAATAAGAAATTTATGTGATCTAGAATGTTTATTCGCATGATTTTAGCAAACAAATATTTAATTATTGATTTATTTAAATTTTATTTATTAATTTTATTTATATTTAAATTATATAATTTTTTTATGATATGATCAGTTATGTATATATACTATGTAGAATTTGATTAGTTGATTATTTCATATGCTAACATATTTTTTTATCTTTTTTTCATTTTTCTAAAAAAATGTTATCTTTGTTATTTTAGATATATGATGATTTTGTTTTATTAGATTTCATTCTATATAAATTATTAATTTCGAAATTATATTAAAATATTAAATTAATAATAAATATGTTTATGTATATTCGAAATATATTTGTTTACATATATTTAGTTTTGAATTTAATTGTCCACTTTTTATGGTAAAAGATTATTATGATTTCCATAAATATAGATTGTTTTTGTTTTTTTTTGCTGTCATTAATTCTGTTTGGCAACTGGTTTTATTTTCATGAAATTTATTTTTAAAATTGGGGAGTGTTTGGCTTCAAGTTATCCTTCCCAATTAATAGTATAGATGTGATTTGGATTTCGGTTTGGATCTAGTTATAACCGAAATTTAATCAACTATCCGTTAAACCAAAGCAAATCAAATTACTTTGATAAATTTGGATTCGAAACCAAGCTTATATATGTTTCGGATACACTAAAAATTTTGAATAGAGTTTTTAAACTGATCCAAATCCAAATAAGGTCAAACTAATCCAATTCGAAAAGCATTGAAATTCTAAATATCCTAATCTGAAACCAGAATAATCCGATCCAAAAATCCGAATGCCAAGCCTTATAATAAAAATAAGTAATATACTATAGATATGGTTGTCTTTTTTTTCTTTTTTTTGAAGTAAACGACAACTGGGGACAAAACCAACTGGACATTTTTCTTTTGTTTTATAAAATCTAACAAAACTAAAATAAAATAAAATAGAAGAACAACTGGAAATTTTGGTAATAAAAATTATTATTTGTGTTTTTGATAATGTGATGTTCTCTTCTCTTCCTTGAAGATCCTTGCCCGTCTTGATAATGGATCTTTCTTCTCCTTCTTCAATCATTCATCCTTAAATCTTTCTTCTCTTTTCCAAATATTAATCAACAAAACTAAGTTTTTGAGTTTTTTTGTTTTTTTTTCTAATCTCAAATTACTCTGTTTTTGAGATCTCTGTTTCAACAGGGCTTGTAAGAACCATGTCTTCCTTGTCAGAGAAGATAACAGAGGATCCAGTAACATACAAGACAGCACAAAGCAGCGTGACATGCATTTACCAAGCGCACATGGTTGGATTCTGGAGAAACGTTAGGGTTCTATGGTCTAAGAATCTCATGAACCATTCCTTGACCGTGATGGTCACTAGCGTACAAGGAGATATGAATTACTGTTGCAAGGTTGATCTTAAGCCATGGAACTTTTGGAACAAGAAAGGTTACAAATCTTTTGAGGTTGAAGGAAACCAAGTAGATGTGTATTGGGATTTTAGGTCTGCTAAATTCAACGGCGGGCCTGAGCCGAGCTCGGATTTTTACGTGGCGCTTGTATCCGAGGAGGAGGTTGTTTTATTGTTGGGTGATCATAAGAAGAAAGCTTTTAAGAGAACTAAATCAAGACCTTCTTTGGTTGACGCTGCCTTGTTCTACAAGAAAGAGAATGTGTTTGGTAAGAAGAGCTTTTCGACTAGGGCTAAGTTTCATGATAGGAAGAAAGAGCATGAGATCGTTGTCGAAAGCTCGACCGGGGAAACAGATCCAGAGATGTTGATTAGCGTAGATGGTATCCTTTTGGTTAAGGTGAGAAATTTGCAGTGGAAGTTTAGAGGGAACCAGACTGTTGTGGTGGATAAAGAACCTGTTCAAGTGTTTTGGGATGTGTATGATTGGTTGTTCAGCTCGCCCGGAACAGGTCACGGCTTGTTCATCTTTAAACCGGAGAGCGGTGAGAGTGACTCGAGCAATGGAGGAACCAAGTATAGTAATGCTTCTTCTTCATCATCTGAGTTTTGTCTCTTCCTTTATGCTTGGAAACTGGAATAAGTCTATAAAATGTTCCCAAACCAAATCTTGCATCCTGTTTTTTTGCCTGACTGTAAATTCACATTCAACATCAATCCTAGCGTGTGAACCACTCTTGATAATTTTGAGTAGTTCAAATTTACCAAGACGTGTGAAAAAGGTTTGTTTTCTGATTCATTAGTGCAATTTGTGTGTGTGACACTAACCAAGACCTTTTCTTACCCAACTCATAAACACAACTTCTTGTCAATCTCAAGATTCTTTTACATGTTTTATCTGAAAAACTGCATTACTATATTAACCGGTAAGCAAACATTACCATAAATGTAATGAAGACTTTTGCTGCTGTAGCTACACCACATTTCAGGTACACTTATATATCTATTTACATAAAAGAAAAGCTCTGTTTGATCCTAAAACATGTGACCACCTCTAGCTGGAGAGGAACAAAACAGGAGAGGCCCAAACAACCAACTGCGCGAGTTCCAGCCGACAAATACATCACTGTCTATAAGGGATGGTATTGTTAAAGATCCTACATTGGTTAGGAATGGGACAAACTAATGCCTAATTAAGTCACATGGATACACTCACTCATATCCTAACTTTTAGATATGATTTATAATGGTCCTCATGATTTTCATCCGAATCTCACGAGTGGAGCTAAGTCTAAGAAAAATCTATTAACTCAGCAACTGACAAAGTAACTCAACCTAAAACACTGATGTCTATGCTAGTAACATTTCAAAGACAAAACAAAGATGCAGAGAGGTACATACTAAAACTTTTCTCATTAGTTCTGCAACTACAAAGTTCTTTACAAGTAGTACTAATGCGGAAATAAGTGGAACAAGATGGTTTACGTTTTCTGTTAACCTACAAACAAACAACCATATCTGATAACAAGATTGATAAAATGCTTACCAGAGAGAGATCAGCTTGCTGCTACATTGCAAGTGCCGATTCCATCTCTACAGTCATTAGTAAGATCATTGAATGTTTCAATCTGTTTCTTCCCTCTCAAGAACACTTCTGTATCAACAGAAGCTCTCATGTAACCGTCAAACTCGACTGGGTTTCCTCCATTAAGCTTTGTCGTCTCTGAATACCATTCGCTACTCTCGTCCCAAAGATCCTTAAACTCATCAAGAAAATGAGGTTTATACTTATCTTTCAAGGGGTTAAAGAAAGATACATCTGGTTCATTTGTTGCAATATAAAGATTCCTTCCTTGTTCGATTTTTCCCTGAAGGGTAGATAAGATAGAGCTTGGTGAAGTATCCTTTTCAAGATTAGGCCAAACTCCTTTGTTTCTCACCTTCTCCCCTCTCTCAATATGAATAGCATCATAGTCCCAGTTTAGTCTTGAAGCAATTGCAGAAACAATCTCCATTAGTCTTTTAGATTTCCACAATAAATGCCATGGCCTTTGCACAACAGATTCTGTTTCCCCTTCACAAACTCTATACCAATAGTTATCTGGTTCTACACTCCCAAACTTCCTCATTACCAATGTGTCCTTTACATCAACAAGCTTCATCGGTGTGACTCTAAAGTCTTCAACAAAATGAAGTTTCAATCCATTCTTCTTATACCATTTACCCCAATCAGTCCAAAACTGCACTTGGTCTAACACAGAAGCAGCTTCTTTCAAATGCTCAAAATCAAAGTAAAACCTGAAGTCCTTACCTTCCTCGTTCTGACCAGACAAAGTATAACCTGAAGACAGACAAAGAGTCAAATCCATAACTAATGTCCTGTTCAAATACTCTGCTTCCCCTAAAGCACACAAGAAACTCCACAAGAAATGGTTCATACTCTTACACCTATCTCCTCCACCAACATAAACCAAGTAATGACCTTCTTTAAAAGCATTCTCAGACTCAACCACAGGAAGTGAATCATTCACTACTTCACCAACCACAGGCAATGAGAAATCATCAACCTTACCACTCGTTTTCTCAAACCCGGGTTTCAAAATCCTCTTCCTCTTCCTAGCATTCACACCTGAATGATACTCACCAATCCCCATCACACTAACACTACAATTCTCAGACTTTTCAATCACAAACCTACGATAATCCTTATAAAACGCAGCCGTTTTACCATCCTTAGGCCTATAACGCCAAGCCATATCACAAGAACTAACACCTTCCACTGCTGCAGGTTTACCAAACTTATAAAAGTGAATGTCTTTGAACTTCTCTATAGCTGCTTTCATCATCAAGTGGAAAACTTCAGGATCTTTACAATCAATTGGGATCTTTGTATCACAATCTAGCTGATTAGTATCTGAATCATTCTCAGATGTTTCAACATCAGCTATCTTGATGAAACCAGAGAACGCTGTTTGGTTAGCCGCCATGAAATCTTCCCCTGTTTTAACAACACTGTCGTCGGATTTGAGAGTAGCGTCTGAATTTGATGTGAGGAAAGTTGTGATTTTGTCAGATGGGTGAAAAAGTGGATCTTCTGGTTCGTATGTAGCAGCGATAATGGTGAAAACCACGACTCCGATTACGAGTAAAGACAGACCTATGCTTCCGATTAAGTTCACTGCGTTTTGTCCTAGATTCTCTGGTCGGAAACCTCCGGTTCTTGAAAATGCAGATCTTCCTAACATCTTTTCTTGTCTTTTTCAAGATTTCTACACAAAGCCGGTTTGGATTTATACGATGAGTGTCATTCTCATCAGAGATTAGAGATCGGTAGGTTCTCAAGAAGGTCTTTTGCGAAGCGGAGGATTCGAAGAGCTTTTTGGAGTTTCTTGTTTTTTTTTTTTTTGTGTGTTAAGAGGACATGTGTTACACGTGTAAATGTGGAGCGACTCTACTTGTGTTGTCATCGACGTTAAGTGAGTTTATATTTTATGTCTGAACGGAAAAGGTTGAATCTTGAATTTGAATGTATCAACTCCTCTGAACTTTTTTTCTTTTCAGATCTATGTTTTTTTTTTTTTTTTTTTTTTTTGTGTGAGCTGACGAGAAATAGTGTTCTCCCTATGCTTTATTAAAAATAAAAAAATTAAACAAAATCATTTCTTGGCCGAGGCAGACTGACAACATTCTCGTTTAAAATCAGCGCCAAATCCGGCGGAACAACATCAATACAATAAAAAGCTAAAGGTAAAGAGGACGCATAGTTTGCTAACCCATCGGCAAGACAGTTACTTTCCTATACACGTGAGAAAGACGGACTATCCAGTCTCTTATGAGTAAGCCATGGCACAAACGCATCAGGATAGACAGCGAATGAGTATCACTAATTCCTGTTTTACGAAAATTAACCACCACCTCCGAATCCACTTCCAACTCTAAACGTGTTATACGTCTCTCCCAAGCTAAATGCAAACCATAAAACACGCCCCAAAGTACAGCGGCCAGTATTACACGCAAAACCCACAATCCACTCCCCTTGATCATTCTGTAGCACACCACCCGCCTTAGCAATGCCCGGATTGCCTCGAGATGCCCCATCCGTGTTCAATTTAAACCAACCCGAACCCGGCATCACCCATTTTGTTAGCCTTCCTCCCCTTTTCTTGCCATCACCACTTCTTTTGCGAGATCTTTAATAACTATCACTCGATCCTTACAAAGTTTATCCCCACCAAACACATTCCCACATCTCCATTTCCACCCCCACCAACACGCAACAGCAAACATTGTAGCCCACATTATCTCATCATCATGTTTGCCTGGCCCTAAGTTCCCATACAACCATTCGAAAAGTTTCATAACAAAGTACTCGTGTCTATGCCGTCTAGGGACCAGCCGATTCCATATCCCCATCATTACGGGACAATCGCGAAGGACATGAAGAATTTTTTCCAGTCCCCCTCGACAAACCAAACACACTATTGTATCACTTAAATGGCGACGGTATCTTTCGTTGTTTGTCATAATTTCCCGCTGAGAAACCAACCAAAGAAAGACACGAACCCTCTCCGGAGCCATAACCTGCCAAATTTGCTTATAAAAACGAGACATGTTAAGAGTAGGATTAGAATCACGCATCAACCAACCAAACGCATACTTGACGCTAAACCTTCAATCTACTGCCTCTCCCCAACATAATATGTCTTTAGCCCTGGTCAGCTATCAACTACGACCGACATCAGTTCAAGCCGTTGAGTCTCCGTTACATACGGCTGAATCCGAGTGAAGTAACAACCCCGGCCGTCCGTCCAAAGGTCTCGAGCTCTTAGTCCCAACATATGATCCGGCTCTTGAATTGGGCTTGAATCGTGAAGAGGCCTTGCGCCCAGCCATCTATCGGTCCAAAGTCTTATACTTCGCCATCTCCAATTACCCACCTATGAGCTTGAAAACCGATTTCACGTATCCCGCAAACCACACTTCGCCATAGAGATGACCATGTATCCTTAGCAATTATCTACGTATGATCATAAAGGTCTCCAACTCTATACTTACTTCTCACCACACAGGCCCATAGACTTTGGTGATCATTCAACATTCTCGACCCACCTTTGGAATCAAAGAAATATTCATATCACTTGCTTTTCGGATTCCCAATCCTCCTTCACAACGTGGTCGACAAACCTTATCCCAAGCTACAAGATGTTGTCGTTTCTTTTCCAAAGTGCTCCCCCACAAAAAAACTGCAAGACACACCATCCAACTTATTCAATATAGAAGCCGGAAGTTTTAGCATACTCATCGAGTGGACTGGAATATAAGTTAAAACCGCTTTTGTTAAAGTCATTCGACCAGCCAAGCTAAGCATACGACCCTTCCAACCAGCTAGTCTAGCTGAAATCCTCTCCAAGAGACCCCCAAACGTGTCCTTATTAATCCGCTTATGCAACACTGGCATTCCTTGATACTTTCCCAAATCATGAGTACATTTAATCCCGCTCTCATCACTAATCAACTTTGCCATGACTCGGGAAACATTATCAGAGAAATAAATTTTAGATCTCTCTAAAATGACCTTTTGTCCTGATGCCAAGCAAAAACGTTCCAACACACCTCGTTTAACTTTGATTTGAGACACCGAAGCTTCAGCCGGTAAAATTAGATCATCAGCAAAACAGAGTTGAGAGAGCTTCGGACCACCTCTAGACAGAGTAATTGGTTTCCAATCCTTCTTACCAATCGCCTCTTCAATCAAATGGCACAAGCGCTCCATACAAAGAACAAACATATACAGTGACAATTGATCACCCTAACACAGTCCTCTTAGAGCATATTCAAAGGTATATGTGGGAAGATGTATCTTAGAGATTTTTAAGCATCTTAATAATGTAAGAGGTTAAGTTAAGAACCACAAATATAGAGGTGAGTATAGGTTGAACCTCTAGGATTTTAAAATTTAAATAATATAATAATATAAAACATATTATAAATTTTGAAAATAAATAAATAATTAATAAATTGAAGACTTATAAAAATAAACATAAAACAGATTTGAAAATAAAAAGAAAAAGAAAATACAATAATAACAAATAAAAAACAATGAAGATCAAAATGAGAAACATTAAAAGATACAAAAGATACAAACATATTCATTAAAATGAGAAACATAAAAAATACAAACTAATAATTAAAGCACAAAAACATTTTATTAAATTAATACAAAGTTTATAGACCTTGTTAAACACCATTGGTAATGAAAGTTAATACAATGTTAAATTAATACAATGTCACAAGGGTAATCGTTTCTTAGCATTGATAATGAAAGTTAAGTGACCATTTGCCACTTTATGGGTAGAAATTTAAGGATAAAAACAGCATTTGTTCTTCAAAAGAAAACTAATTTTTGATATCAGTACACAATTCTCCTAAAACAGTGAAACCTCAATTTACATTATTATATGAAAATGTTACATAGAATCAAAACTTAGCACTTCAACAATATCCAAAGTAGGTCCATAAACTGCAAAGTACTGGAATACGGAGCCCTCTTGTGGCAGCAGCAAACATCTATCACCACCAACATTATCATCATCATCATACTGGCTGTTCTTTGATTCGATTCGGTTTATGTGTATACCTTCTTCAGTTACAGTTTATCTTGTGTTTTCTCTGCGGCGGGAGTTATCAACAATCATCACTGAAGTATCATAATGCTTTGTCTTTGGTTCTTCCAAGTTTGCTTTCCACAAAGGCATCACTGTGCGTGGCTGTGCATCCTGATTACATCATACCAGTTTTATAGACAGATTAGCCAAATATGCGACTTGAAAACATTGAAAGTTACACGTCATTACGTAATGATGATTATCCCTACAGACTAGCATATACAACCAGCTCCAACTTGAAAGGTTTTCCAGGGTTTCTTGAACCAGTAGGTACGATGACTACCCATATGCAAATCAAGGTTTAAGAAGATTCATATCAATGTGCACAAGAAAAATTTCTTCATAATTCAAAAAACGAGTTCTTCAAGAAAAAAAGAAAAGAAAGATAAAGGTGAAGTTCAATGGACGGATGCTCACACTATTCTTGAAAGAAGCTGTGGAGCAAATAAGTCAAGAAAGGTAGGGCCATAAAATTCACGCATCCAGCTAGAGAACAAGCAGATGTGACTCTACCAAATTCACAACTCAAGCAACCTCAAGTGTTGTATAACAATCATCATTGAGAACAAGTGGATTTGCTGCAAGAAAATGGGATAACCCATATGAGATTAAGACACCATAACTTATTATAGAACTCACATCAATCATATTCCAGGAGAGGGAGGATAAAACACTTACCACCGTGCGAAAGGAGTAACGTAGCAGTGTTCTCAAGACCTCTTTTTGCAGCATGGTGCAGAGGAGTCCCAACATGGCGACCTAAAGAAAAAAAGCAAATGAGCACTAGCTCAATCACACTGCAAAACTAAAATCTTCTTCCTAATTGCAAGCATCTACAATCACAGCCCCATTTTAAAATCCAAAACCACGATCTCTAACAGAATCAGCAAAATCTCGAACTCCAAATACATTCACTAGCTGCAACTAAACAAAGCTACATCTCAATGACTATCATAATGCCACCGACATCCTAACTTAGGTTTGACTCAGCTATTCAAGCTCCACTATTACACATACAACTACAAACCGACAAGTTCAATCACAAAGGTAAGATTTTGAACATACCAGGACAATAAGCATTAACATTAGACCCCAACTGGATCAAAGTTTTAGCAACATCATAAAGTGTTACAAGAATTCTCGAGGGTGAAAGCAAATAAAAATAAAGCTCACGTGTCGTCTGTTAATTGGTTGTTGAAATTGTGGTGAGGAGTGACATACGTGGACTGTAGAGTGAAATCGAGTGGAGCTAAAAGGAGAAGAGAAGCGTTCATCTTTCATTATGCAATTTTCTCAGATTTGATTGTAATCTCTCTCAATCTCTCTCAATCTCTCTTTGTAATCGGTGTGTTGCTCAATCTTATTGGAGTTGTTTCTTCATCTATACTCTTGTAAGTTGGGAACTGGATCTTTGTTTCTAGCAAACATTGGTTCATTTGGTTTTGGGTGTTGTTATTAATTGAAGGTGTGTTTGTTCTTTATCAAAATTATCATAGCCACTCATCCTCGGAATCTGATAACCCTATAGTTTTATACTCTAAAGCAAATGTTTTGTGCATTATTTGCATATCTAGGTCTCTACTTCTTAGAGTTTCTAGTCTCTTTGCATTATATTTCGCATCTAGGATCTTTAGCATAAGGATTTGCATACCATCTGCATTTTAGAGCAAAAACAGGTACACCCAGACACTGCAAAGCATGGACCCAATCGAGTGTGTCCAACCCGACCAAGCGAGCACGATCGAGCACCCGGACTCACAAGAGGAAGTTGAACACGGGCGAGCCGAGGGAGGAT